CTTAAAGTCCAAAACCAAAGCAAAGCCAATACTGATTGCAAAGGAAGGAGTCTGTTTGAGGTTTTTCCTGTCTCATAGGGTTTCGACGGCGCCCATGATATGCATTACGAATAAATTTTATTATTATACATATTAAGTCACAGCGGATTCGCAAAAAAAATAATAGTCAACAATATATGTGGTTTGGGAAAATTCGGTCGTAAATATAATTATTTCTCATTGAGGAGCACACCAGCTGAGACCACTTTGATATATTAATGGTATCTAGGACGGACTGAAATCTGGCGGGTAATGATTTGAATGCTAATCAGTTGCAGAAAAGTTGAAATGCCGAAATCAGGTTGAATACTTCCCAACGTTTTCACTCATCCTCAGATGATGAGTTAAGGAAATTATAATTGCACCCAAGAATCGCCTTTTGTCAGGGGGACAGGATAATAGATCTTTTGCAGTAATTTCCGGAAAATGGCGTAACATCTGGATTGAACGGGAAATGCTTGAAACAAGCTTTAATATAAAGAATCCAACCACCACGCTTACTAGCGCTTTCTTTATGGAAGAATATATACTCAACTATTATAAGCAAAGAATCCGAAATTAACGGGTGTCCACGGTCCTGTTACGCATATAACATCGGGCTTCAGCTCGAAAGCAATGCCCTTAAGTTGGGGCATATTATAATTCAGTATATATAAGGGAGATAGGCAAAGTCTTTGAAAACCCTATTTACAGATAGATGCTGTCAGATCATGCATGTGGTTCAAAGCCATATATACATTATATAAATCGCTCTTGTCTACCAAATGTATGACCAGCAAGTAAAGTGAGATCAAGCCTTCTTTTAAATGCGTCGACGCTTTCAGCAAGAACACTTGAGGAAGGAAGTTTATTCCAGTCTTCAATGACCCGGGGGGAGAAGAAGTGGCCCACACTTCTAGTTTGGCATGGTGTTTCTTCAGTTTTTACGGATGACCGCGTAGATGTACCGTTTGTGCGAATTCAAAGAAGTCAGCCATCTGAAGAGCAGTCTACTCCTCTGACGAGTTTAAACCCCATGATCATATCTCCTCTGTATTGCCTATAATAGAGAGGGAAATGATTGAGCCTATCTAGACGACCTTCATATGGGAGACCTCCTAAGCTGCTGACTAGCTTGGTCGCCCTTCCTTTGCACTTTCTCGAGCATTGCGTAATCTTTCTTGATCCAAAGGCACCACGCCCTTTTACGTTCTCAAGTACTGCGTAATCTTTCTTCATCTTATTTATAACAGGCCTAGGATTAAGCAATATGATACTTTGTGTAGTTCAAATATCCGAACTAGGGTTATCATTATTTAGCAAACAAATTGGGTGGGAAGTTAAATTGGAAGTTATTGTTCGTTGGAGAGTAACCGCCAACTGGCCCAGAAAAATTGGCATAAGAAGGCTGAGTTCAACAGAACAAGCTTTGAACGACGTTTATTGAATATGGCATTAAGATAATTCCTCACCCAACCCGTCTTATTTCCCACAGGGGTGTGTGCGGGGCGGCAGCCCAACGGCTTGGACTTTGTGCTCAAGCAATCACTCGATGGTGTTGACGAGGTGCAATGGCTACCTTCCCTAGGTGCCCACGTCGGACTTCACTAGGACCATTCAATCTTTTTGGGTTCTGAACAGCCCACTAGAGTTAAAAGTATTCGGCATGGCGAACTAAATCAAATGAAGGCCGAAATCAACAACGTAATTTGCAAATCAGTTTTCCCGGCAATATGACCGAGGACTGAGAATGGTC